GTTAAAAAAAGAAAAGTTGTTAGGCCGCGGTGGAAGAAACACATTTTTCCTCCACCGCGCTCCACGCCAGACTCGTCAAACCAAACAGATCTCCAAACAGAAAGGAGCGAAACCAGGGCGCGCCATCTATCGGTTTTCTTTCCAACGAATTCCCGCGTCGACGAAGGAGCCACGCGTGCACTGATCGCTCTAATCCCCACCCCCGTTATCGGCCCTTACGCTTCCCTTAGCCTTGCCGCCGTGCCCGGCCTTCCCCCCTCTTTCGGCCTCGACACCCCTCCCGGCCCTTTCGCAGTGGTGGGCCTAGCCCCCGCACTCGGCAGTTCCGGCTCGCTCGGCCCTAATCCACGCTCGGCCTTTCCGCGAGGGTCGGCCCAGGGGGGATGCTGCCGTTTTGTGGCTGCCTCTCTGTTTTCGTCCAGTCAGATTTCCAAGTGTTGTATGGGTGTTTTATCCCCCGCCAGGTTTACGCTGGGGGTTTATCCTTCGGGCTAGGCCCTAAATGATCGGCTTTTGTGGTGATAACTGTGTCGAGTCTATCGTAAGGCTCTTGAAGGAGCCAGGCGTTTTGAATTACCATATTCCCTTGACGTCATGGACCACGTGATTTAGCCAAGGTGTGTCAGTATTTCGTCTCGTGTAACCACTGCTAAAAAAGGAATGTCTCAGGCCGAAACGTCGGCGAACTTTATAAATAGTATGTTTTGTACAACTCCAAACAACCGTCTCAAGTGTGTTTTTCTGCAGTGCATACTTTTTGGCATCCTGCGCAACTTTTTCTCCCGCAACATCCCTCACGTCTGAAGGAAAACGGAGTAAGCCTGTCTAAACGGAAGTCCGTCCTAAAAACCACATTAACGTTAAACTTTGCACCCAAGGCTTTTAGGCTATGAGAAAAACCATGACAATAAGGTGGTTTTTAGGACTTACTTCCGTTTAAACAGGCTTACTCCGTTTGCCTTCAGACGTGAGGGATGTTGCGGGAAAAAACACAGAGATCCCTCAGTCTCCTGTGTCACAGAGGTAGTCTACAAGATCCCCTTTGACTGTGGATTGTGTTATGTTGGTCAGACGGGGCGTTGTTTTGAATGACCGACTTGTGGAGCATAAAAGGCGTGTAAAGAATTTGGCGCAGAATTCTGAATTGGTTAATCATGTTAGTTCTTGTAATTTTTGTTCCCCTCTTTGGGAAAAAACTTATCTGTTGTGTAACGAAAAAGAATTGTTTAGAAGGCTAATTAAGGAGCCTTTATGCATTCGCGAGCGAAGGAATTGTGTCAGCCAGCTGTCCTTGGTGATCACTGATTGAATGAAAGAGTTTCTGCTTGTATGAGGGGAGCTTTGTAAACCTTGAAAAAGGGGGGGGGGGGGGGGGACCGGGAAGCGTTTATTTGGAGTAGGAAATGGGGATTAGGCTTTAGCGGTTTGGAGGTCACCATGTGTGGTGACCGTGGGGTTGTTGTTCTAGTGGTCGGCTCCCTTTCCGAAGGTTCTTGGAGCCGGGGAGTGGCTTAGGCCGTCTGGGGTGAACGCGTTGGCCGTCTTGTTTTTGCTTTTGAGTTTGTTTTTTTGCCCTTTCTCTTTTCCTTTTGTGTAAAAGTCTATTTATTGGTATGCTCCTATCAATAAAACTTCAGCTGCGTTTGAGATTTTGTTGTGTTCGTCCGTTTTTTTATTGTTCCCCATCTCAGGGTTTACAAGATGTGGACCCTATACCCCGGGCAGGCCCCCCGAAGCCACTTAGGCGTCGCACGCTCGCGGTGTTCTGGGAAGTTGGATTGACGAACAGAAAGAACCGATACGCGAGCTTCCCTCAAACGAGCGTTTTTGTTGCTCGAGCGAAGCTTTTCTCGGTGTCACCTTATAATGGACCGCAGAGGGCGCTACGAGCCATTCCAGCCAAACCAGCTCCGAGTGTCACACCCTCTCTGGAGTGCTATGCGAAGCTCAAGGTCATGTGATTCTCTCTCAGCCCTCAATGGGCAAAGACTGTCTCTAGCATCCGCTACGGTCCACTGTGCGGTGGAACGGAGCATGGTATGAGCATGGAGAATAGAAGGGGAGAGGGCATGGGACGTCAGCCGCAAAGCCTCCACAAGCCACGCTCCCTTGACGCCTCACCTCTTTCTCATTTTTCTCCTTACTCCTCACTTATCAGCCTAACATGACCACATCAATTGACCGTAGCTAGCCTTCGTCTAGCCTTCGATCTGATAAAACCTACCGGACGGGGCGCGCAAGCCTGCAAGGAATCCTTCTACAATCAACCATCCATCTCGCACGTGACATGTCACGCACACCAATCGCCAGAGTGATCTGCGGTCACGTTGGGCACATTATCGTTTAAACATTTTATGACTAGGCTTCACCTGGCGCTTGGATGAGAGGAGAAAACAGAGGGCGCTATTGGAGTGGTTCCGAAAAGACAGGTCGTGGGGCCGGGTGCGTTGCGGTTTTCGGGGCGCGTCGAAGACGCGCTGGAATCCACGCGCCTCTGGTTAACAGTAATAGTAAGGAGCGCTGCGTTGTATTAGAAGCACGAATTCACCCCTGACAGCATCGCTGGAACTCCAGCGGGGCCCCACTGGGTCTCCCGATCCAGTGACTTTAGTGGAATCGAGGCCACCCCGGGCCTCTTTCGAAGTGCGCCCCATCACTCCTCCCTTCCCCAGCCGACAGTGAAAGGGGGGGGGGGGGGGGGGTTCGAATCCCGAAACCCTCCCCCTGGGTACGGCCCTGCTTTTTGCTACATCTTACAGATCACCGCGAAACCGCACAGGACACCGAGACCGTGGCTTGGTTAGGCCTACGTCATCCACACAACTCAGCTCACCTGGACTTGGGCGCGTACCAGGGTTTAGAATGACAGTACAGTACATACCATAAGTTAAAATAAACAACACGAAATCTGGTTATATGCAGTAACTGTACCTTAAAAAAAACTGACCGCATTCCCGAGGTTTATGATAAGTTTCAAGCTGCCGTCTGCAACCAGCGACGAATCTGACGAAACTCCGAATGTGCCAAATATTCGTCGCGGGAAGTTCAGAAATTTACGAATCTGTCCGAATCCGAATCTCCGGTGATTCGTCCCATCACTAGTTGCAACCCTCGTGATGACGACCATGGTTTCAATAACGAGGAGATACCTAAACAGGTAAGAAATTGCGAATCATTTTGCTGAAAGAAATTGGCCATTCGGCTCGCATCAAGTTTGTTCAGGTTTGTTCCCGTCATTTCGCTTCGAAAAAAAAAGTATCTCTCAAGTTTTTTACTGCACCTGGTCCGCTAAATTGAACAATTTTAAGTCGCGTATTAATTGTACGTCGCACACCCACCTTGCTCGCGGACGCCATACAAAAAAAAAAAAACGAGTAAATCATTTTGAAGGATTGCAGGTGGCATTCAGTTGATCCAACGGCGTTTTAGCGAACGCCAACTTCTCTTCGACACTTTAGCGAATGGTAGGCCGCCACGAGGCGACGTTAGTCGGTGGGTTAAGTCAGAGCCGTATATTTAGAGAGTTTGGTCAATGGAAGGCGCAAGCATGCAGAGCCAGGGCGTGCGGCAGACTCGGAAAGAGGGCTTGGCATGCTCTCTTGACCAACCAGAAGCCGAAAAGAATCCCCTAGCGGTGGTAGCGAGAAACAGCTCTGATCGAAGGTCTATGTGCGTATATGCTTTTAATAAGTGCGTAAGAGTGAAGTGTAGCAACTCTTTGTGGTTGAAAATAGGGTCCACATGTTGTTTTGATCATGATCATGCAGAAAGATGTAAGAAACGAATGCGGCGCTCAACTCTGTTTTGCTCGGACAGAGTGTTGCCGCTCGGACGGCAGATTCCCGGCCCTCGGCGTTTGGCGTACGGATTATGTCGATCGTTCGGCTAGTCGCACTCTTCCACCATCATTTTTGATGAGCGTGATTGAAACATCACGTGTACCATATTTTCAGCCATCGAGAGTTACTCCAATACAGTTGTCAGGTTTGTTTCTCACGACCACCGACAGGGTATTGTTTTCGGCTTCTGGTTGGTCACATTCGAATTTCTAAAGACGCCCTGGAACACGCCCAGCCCGCTTTCGGCCAATGGCGCCTCCTCATTTGTCTCCTATACTTCCCAACCAATGGCCAAACTCTCTACATATACGGCTCTGGGTTAAGTGGGATAACATTTATATGTGCCTGTTTCTTGCATCATGATAGAATTCAAGCTAGCTGTTCGAATATCGAGCAGTGAGATTTGAGAAATTTCAGCCTACTAAACTAGTCATTCGGTTGAAAGCAGATGATCACATCGTTGTCTGCTTTCAGCAGAGTGCTTGCGGTGCTTATCGGGAGATGGAGCCACAAGCGTAATTCTGGGATGGGTATAGTTCCTATATTTGAGAGAGTGAGCAACTGAAACTATGGGAAGCGCGTGCAGATTAATGACTGCCCTTACGAGAGATAGTATAATGAAAAAAACAAAACTGGAGTGCACTTATTATCGGTCGCCCAAAAGTCTCTTTCTATGTGTGAATTTGTTGGATATCTTTTTTGTATGAATGCATTATCTTCTTAACTTGTGACATGGTCTGGAGAGCGCCTCTGTAGGCGCAATGCTATTTTGACGGCTGCTTTGGGGGGGGGGGGGGGGGAAGAAAGTGCAACTTCCGAATGAGGTTGCTTTAGAACCCAATGCATACATGGCAGCACAAAAGAAAACGCTTGACGAGATAAGTGTGGTACTAAAAGATGTTGGCAAAATGGGGAAAAACGAAGTCCCCATTTCGACAATATTTCTTGCTCATGGAAGTCACCAGTTGAGGGGTCAAACAGTGAGATTGTTTTGTTTTTTTTGTTTTTTTTAACTTAAGCATTGACACTGTCATAAGTGAACATAATTTTATTGCAAGCAGCTAGTCCTCTAATTTTCTTTTTGGTGCACGAGGAGGCCCGGGAGGACGCTGACTGCTGACGTAGGACCACAGGTATAGGAGTGAAGTCTTGTAAGATAGGTCATACGAGGGGTGCCATGGAAGCGTATCGGTCCGTGGAGCAAGGCAGCCGAAACACGTTGCCGTAGCTCCTGAACCACTTGTTGGCGACTGCGCGACAAAAGGAATATGTCATTTACGATCGATAACGGAGCCAATGGCAAAACGGTATTTGTCCACCAGTTTAACTTGTAGAAAGCTAACTAACACCATTGCAATTAATTTTGTTTTTCGTGTAAGCTTGTCCTACCGTATTCCACCTGTACGGGCTATGGCAACAAAAAAAAAATAATTATACTTTTTCATATCAGTTTGACATTAGGGCGTAATTGAGTATAGTACTTTTGAAATGTAATTTACTTGCATTTTCAACTAATTTGCTCAGAATGTAGCTAGTTTCATATAGAATTACTAGCTAAAAAAAAAAACAGAAATACCTTTCAAAAGTGATACAATTTTTTTTTCTTTTCAAGCTACGCGACATTCACGAAAATTCCCTGATAGCGTTTTTCCTCCTTAAAATGCATTTGTCGTTTCTTAGACTGATCGCTGAGGATTATTTACATGACGTTTTACATACTGGACACATTTTATTCCTGTATTCTGCCTACTTCATTAGTTGTATAGGATACGGGTTTCTTTCATTATATTATGACAGCGCACCAAGTTTTTTAGTGTTCTTTATTCTTTCAGCTTGATGGTAAAACATAATTTAATGGCTTCCTCAGTCTTATTTTTTCACTTGTTCCTGTCCCTCGCGCAATTTGTAGTTCAAAAGAATTTTGTATTGTTAGTAGGCACTCGAAGCATCTTATGTAAGTTAAAAGTATTCTAATGACTGACAAATGGGGTGACAAGGTATTGGGTGCATTAATCATTTTAGTCTTTCTTTTCTGCTGAAAATAAAAGTCTCTCTCGTTTTACGTAAGACATCTTCCAATTGTTCCAGAGTCTGCCGCGGCTTGTTGCGTCACCTACCTTCGAGTTTGCCTTTGGTCATTGATATACTACTGCCGAGACCAGTTATAAAGAAGTCAACGGGAATCAGAAATCACTTTGATATATCTGCTATTTCGTTGTAACCGACTTCGGTTAACGAAGTACAAAGGAAATGAGAAATCATGATCGCTTCGCTGTAACCGCTATTTCGTTATAACCGACTTCGTTATAACCGGTCTCGGTACTCTTTCGTTGAATTAAAGTCTTTGCGCCACTGCTACCAAGCAAACGGCAGCAGTCTACCAGAATGCGAAGCTTCTGAGCTGAGCTGTCGGGTTGTACCTTAAAAATCATCACCCTTAAACCAAATCAACCTTTATTCGCGTGGTGACGAGAACATAAAGCTCTCGAGTGAGGCAGTCTTTGGAACCGCACGTGCTTATAATGCTTGACTCACCGGCAATCTCGAAATCAATTGTGACTGCCTGCAAGCAACTCATTGGAGACTGAAATTGCATAGCGTAGGAGCATAGCCTCCTCTATACGGAGAAAGCCTGGCACATCGACGACGGAGCCATAGAGCGCGCGGCCGCTGGAAAAAAGGAGAGGAGGAGCGCGCCGAACGGTGACCAAGATGGTAGCGCAGAGCAGAAAGGGCAGACCTAGACAGCGAGCGCTTGGGTCATGAGCGGCCGCTCCCCGAACCACGCTTGTTTTTGTGTTTTCGTCACCGTCGTTTTTGTACTCCGGGAGAAACGGGCGCGGCGATTCGAAAGGGCGCAGGGAGAAACGGGAAAGCATGGACGTTGAGTTTCTCCTCTCCACGATAGCGACAAGAAAAGAGAGAGAGAAACAAAAAAGATTGTTTCTGCGTTTGGCCGCTCGCTCTTTTGTGGCGCTAGCGGGCAAGGTTCTCTCCGCTCCCGTTTCTCCGCCCCTCCTTTCCCATTTACGGCGGCCGTCTTTTCACGCGACGCGCCAGGCTTTCTCCGTATAGAGGAGGCTATGGTAGGAGACTCGCGGGTTATTTTTTTCGAAGTTTGCTTCGGTATACACTTCGTTTCTTGGTAGCGACTTTGCTATTTATTGTTTTTTTTTTAACTTTCCCGGAACTTACTCCACTTGTTTCCGTAGAACACGGGACAGCCGGCGTGTAGCGTGAGCTTCTCTACTGCACCGCTGGTTTTCAGGTTCCACCAAAACGCGGCGTCGCCCTGTGCAATAAACCTTCAGGTCAGGCCCTTTTGTTTGTTCACTTATATTGAGTAGCTTTTCTTATACTTTTTGAAATGGCGGTCATCAATGTCATTGGTGGAATCTTACACTCTAGAAAAAAGGGTGTATTCTTAAAGGCGGTAAGTTGGGCTAGTTGGTTTAACATCGTCAAACGTGAAAACAGCGCAAAAAATTGAACAAAGGACAAGTGAGAGGAGTGCACTCCTTTCACTTTTCCTTTGTTCAATTTTTTGCGCTGTTTTCACGTTTGACGGTGTATTCTTACACCCTTTGTCCCATATAAGACACCCTAACACTTCAGAGCGACGTACAGCGCACTTGCTTCAATCTGACGGCACTAACTTTCACGAAAGGCTTGATAGCCGTGTGGTACAACTTATTAAAATAGGTAATTCACGTGTTACTGGCTACAAAAATATAATCCAGGTTTTTTTGGCCCTACTGCAAAACTTCAGTGTTTTTCTTTTCTGTGGTCTTTGATACGTACTTTAGCTATTTAATAAGTTATATCCCACCGTGATCAAGCCCCTCGTAACATTGGGGGCCGTCTGTTCGACTAAAGGACGCTGTACGTGGAAATTAAGTTTTGGGGTGCATTATATGAGACAGAAGGGTGTAAGGTGATTCCCTTTTCTTTTTAGAGTGTAGAATAACCCCTCGCGTAATTAACCGCAGGCTAATGGACCAACTAAAGAAATTAATTGTCGTTCAGTAGTAGCATCACAAAGCGCGAAATGGGGTCCCTAAATTTCCTTCCCTCGACGGTGATGGCATTAATTGTAGTACCGGACGCGGACATCACGCGCTCGCAAGGAAAATCCAAACGAATCGCCGGGAACGAAATGCCGCCATACATCACAAACAACGCGAAGAACTTGGGCCGCGAGACGCGCTTGCACTCGCTTCAGAACAAAGAAGCAAAAAGGCGCCCCTTTGTCGCACTGGCGTGCCAAAAGCAGGGGCAACACAAAGTGTAATGAGTTAGTGTGGAGAAACTGTCTTCATTTGTGGAGACAGGGTGGAGCGAAGCGGCCCTGTGTCGTGCAAGGTAAGCGGGTAAGCAATCCGTGGATGTCCTAATTGTGGGCGGCATCTTCGGCAGTTGCATTGTAAATACGACTTTCTCTCAGAGCCTGTTGGAATTGGAGTAAGCGTGTTGAAAGCAGGATAATTAGGGAGTTTTAGATGACCTTGTTTACGCCTCCGCTAACCCTCCACAACGAAGACACCGCCACTGCGCCTGCGCGCCGATGGCCTTGGCTGTAGAGTTCCGGGTAGCGGAGGGTTAGCGGAGCGAGAAACACGATCTACTAAAACTCCCTATTGTAACGCGGCAGTGCAGTGCAGTGCCCTTGCACCAGCTCGCAGAAAAAGAGAACCAAACATTCGGAGCTATCTCAACCAAGGAGTATGTTGTTGTTGGTTTTTTCTTGAAGCGACAGACATCGTTTACTACACTGGAGAGGATGTCCGTTGTCAATGTACTTAGATGTTGTAGGTGTCGTAGCAGGGTGTAGGCCATCCGTCGTCGCTATCGTCAAATGCTCGGAGAAGATCGCCCGCCGCCGCGGTGTTCTCAAGATTCGATCCTGGGTCTGCAGCGTGTGAAGCCGGCGCCTTACCACAGAGCTACGCCACAGCCTCGAAAGCCAGGGGCATTTGATAAACAGAATTTGCAGGAGCCTCGTGTTGCGCCGGCTAGGTGGCCACAATTACTGTACCGCCGAGATTGAACTTTCTTTTTTGATCATTCTTGATTTATTTTAAATCTAGTTTGAGCTAATTATTAAAATTAAAAGCTTGGGCTAAAGGTAGCCGAAGCCGCCCTACAAGCTTTGGCATGTTTGTCGCTTGGCGGTGGATCGGAGATTCATAATGGTGACGTCATCGAGACACCTCGCCGTGGCATGTCGTAGCTGTCGCCGTGACTGTATACTGTCGATTCAAGAAAGGACGGCGCATTTTTAGAGCAACGCTGTTATGTGCTAGGATCTGGAAAAAAAAGGCGTTCGTGCATGTTAAAAAACAAACAAAAAAAAACTCCCGTTTACACGGCGCTCCTTCGTTCCGATTGCTCGTGGCAAGTGTCAATAAAACAGGGACAACCCGCGTGAGTCAGACTTCCTTGGCATTATCAGATATACTCGGCGACAACTTTTCTTGGCAATGCAGTGGAAGGTACAGGCCCGCGTTCCCTCTCCCATTTTGAGTGCACGCAGGCTCTCCTCCTCTCCCCATTTCCGGGGAGAGGAGGAGAGCACGCGCACACTCAAAATGGGAGAGGGAACGCGGGCCTGTACCTTCCACTGCATTGCCAAGAAAAGTTGTCGCGGAGCATAGTTAGGTCCTGTTCCCTTGATATCATCTATGGTCACCGACTTATCTCAGCTAAGAGTGCGCTGTGACGAGGCTGAGGGCAGAACGCGCCCATCTATCCTTCTTTTCTTTCGCTTCTGCGATGCTGATAAAAACACTTGGGCTCAATCGAGAAAAAAAAAAAAAAAACTGTCCTTGAGGTGTGCCTCGAAAAATTCGGTTTAGAACTTACAACGTCGTGTATCGAAAGACTTGATCGCCTTTTTGCATGTATCTGTTTTTTATTCAATCAATATAGCGATTCGCTGTAACGTCGCTGTAAAAACTAAAATAGCTACCAACCAATGGCTGCGTTCCTTTGTCTCTTGACGTAGCCATTTCCTATCGACGTTATCAGTTGCCCTTTCGACTCGCCATGGGTAGGCGGCCGCGTGTTGTTCGCTCTTGGAGGAAGAGCCCCCCTACAAGGATTGTCGGCGCGCTCAAAAGCGCGAAAGCGTACGAAAGCGTCGAGAAGCCGAACGCGCAGCGGCCCAGCCTGGTGCGGTCGATGGTGTGGGTCCACCGGCTTCGATCGATCCTCCACTCACGGCCGAAGAACGTGCCCGTCTAAAGCATCATCGGCTACAAAAGCGGGAGTTTGAACGTCGTCGCCGGGCGAAAATGACCGACGAAGATCGGGCCGCCGATGCCAAGCGGAAACTAGTAGCTTTTGTCGTAAAGATAGCAGCTCCGTTGGTCCTCCATCTTCACGTGAAGTAAATGGACTCACAATTTCTTTCTCTGTTTTTCTGTCACTCTCTCTCTCTTTCTCTCTCTTTTGCGCTCTTTCTCTGGGAAAGCCGGACGCGTGCTCGTTCACGAAGCATCATAGCGCCGCCATATGTCTCGACACGTGATGTGTTAACAACGCCGGGAGATGACGCGGAGGCTTTGTGTTCAATCAGTTCGGAGGTGAGCGCTGCGTGAGTGTTTGGCTGGCAGTCGGCCTGTCGACTGCCATTGCTGGCACCTAACCGGATCTGGTTAGGTGCCAGCCCTATAACGCATTTTATGTAAAAAAAAGAGAAAACCAAGCGTTTTGAACATAATGTTTAGACGTCATGCCCTTAAGCAAAGCGCACATGAAGGCACCCTTTAGCTTGAACAACTCGCGTACTACTTGTACAACATTATTTATCTATTTCTATTTCCCTCTTTTTCTTCCTATCTTTCTGTTTCTCTGCTGGATCTACGGGAAAATAGAAATATGTTGACGCCTAAACCTACAGGTCATTTGTGGTAAAAAACGGGTAAACAAGGGGAGAACTCTTAACCTTTTTCGGAGTCAGTCTTACTCCGAGTTTTGGAAAAACGGTGGCTCCGCCTTCTTCAACGTCACTCATCTGTAAAAAAAAGAAACAAAAATTTGCCATCAACTACAGGGGTTAATGTGAGCCGCAATTCTTCGAAAGACCGGCTGGAATTTGGCTGCTGCTGTTCTTGATTGTGGTTTTTCTCCGCTCAGTCGACAATTCGGCTACATCTCCTTGAGAAGAGCTTGCCGATTTTTTTTCTTTTTTTTGGTTTTCGGCTTTTTAAAGTTCGCGATTGGAAGCCTACAGCTGTATTCGCACAGCTTGTACACCATACAAACGACACTATGTTCGTCGCAGACTTGATCACATAATTGTCTGCTGACACGCCTAAAACTCGAAGCATGTTCGGGTTCGCTTCATGCACACCTATGCTACAAACATATGTGCAAATAGTTTTTTTTTAGCCCATGTGACATTACTAATATGCATAGAATAAAGGTGTCTGCAAACCAGGGTGTAAGATAGACAGGTGGGTAAACGAGAGCCAAATGAGCGACCGGATTGTGTCCCCCTCGGTTTTCTCTTTTTCTGTGGCGCCATCTATGTGGAGCAGCGCGAACTCTCACTCCGGGTGGGCGACCTTTGGCGACGGGCTGAACTGACGGAGATGGTTTCTCGTGGATTTTCAATGAAGGACTGTCGTGCTCTCGTTTTATTTTCCGCACTCTCCCATAGATTTCCATCCAAATCCGATTCCGATTTTTTTTCCTCTCGCCGCAGCGCCACCTGTCGCAAATCGGGGGTACCCGCAAGCAGACGAGTACACAATCCGGTCACGGCGCGGAGGTAGACTTCTATGGGCCGTTTCCCCACCTGTCTATCTGACACCCTGCTGCAAAATCTCCTTTGTACGATGAGTTAGCGATCTATATATCGCTGTAACGGCGGCTTATTGGTGACGGTTTCCGTACGTTCGCAATGAGACTACGAAGAAGTATAAAATTGGCTTATTCGCGGTCTGATGTATGCGCGGGGCACTACTCCACAGAATTAAGAAGAGTAGAAAGATTAGAATTTCAAGACGGTTTGGGCGCACATTCCGCGCACCACTAAACGTAGCATAATAAGTAAAGTACTCAAACAGGATCGGTCCCTGCGAGACAAGGTTTAGGAAGCACGAAAGAAAAAAAATTATGAAAATTGAAGTGTTGAATTATAAAACTAGATATATTCTTAATAAAAAAGGAAAGAAAAAAAGTGCGCTGCTAACAGAAGAAGCATCAAGCGTCCCAGGTACAAAAAGGACCACTTACGTAGATCATAAGCGTGGCCAATCTATCGCCATAACTCGGAACCCGGGAAAATTCGTCCGTCTGAAAAAATAAACACATTCAAGACGTTCAGATATAGATTTAATCTCTAACGAGACTATTTTTCGGCCCATCCGAATATTACGTTACCCTACGGTGTGTATAAATGGGAATAGGTGTGTAGGGTGACCTAAATTATCTTCCGTGTTTACGTAGCATTCTTTTTAAGAGCGCAGCTCTTAGCGTTTTTTTTTCGGCTTGAGCGGCGTCGGCGTAGCCGCGTGGTGCATTATGGGACGTTTCCCATGATAACGTCACACGTGACGTCACGTCCCAGGTAGCACGCCAGAAAAATGCCCACCTTGGGCAAAGTTCTAGCAAACGTAAGGGCCCAACTTTGGCCCAGTTAGGTTTTGCATCATGGCGTTCATCAGTGCCAAAGTACGTTGCCTAACTATAGCCCAAGTTGGGCGATGCTAGGGCTTGGCAAAGTTTGGCTCTTCTCTGGTCCGCCAAAGGAGTGCCGAAGTAGTCCCATACTTGAGCCAAAACTGCCAAAGCAACGCCGAATTTGGGTATTTTGGACATGCCAAGTTTGGCCTTTCTCTGGTCCACCACAGTTCTGCCAAAGTAAGTTCCAGACTTGAACCATAACTGCCAAAGCAACACCTAATTTGAGTATTTCGGCCACGCCGAGTTTGGCTTTTCTCTAGTCCGCCACAAGTGTGCCAAAGTGAATGCCAGACTTGAGCCAGGACTGCCGCAATAAATCCTATTTTGGCGATTCAGGGCATGCCGAAGTTTGGCTCTTTTCTGGCTACCCACTGAAGTGCCAAAAGTGCCAAAGAAAGCCGACAGGTCAGCCGAAGTTTGGAATATCTTCGGTCTGTCACAAAAGTGATCTTTCACGCGTCCCAGAAGAAACTTAAATTAAATAAGCGCTGGAAACACGATGGTCAGGTGCACCTCCGTTCCCAAGCAGCACGGCAATACTTTGCAGTATCGTGCCGGTACCGGCCGAAAGTCGGTTCCAATATAGCTCAAATGTCCAGTTTTGCACCACTGTTTGATATTGGCAGGTACTGCCGTACACTCGTTTTGCCCCGGCCTAGTGTTCTCGCAATATCGTGCGAATACTCTACGATGCGTCTGCTCAGTATTGGCCGAACGTCGTGCAAGTTTGTGTTTTATAGGACGTTGCATATCAATAACATACACAGACAAACAAATTTTTTTCGATCGCTCCAAGATGTCTATTAACGGGCCCTGCAATGATATTTAAGCGTCAACCTTTTTCGTGGTTTCCACGTCCCTCGGGATTCGGGCAAGCCAGCGGGCACGGAGAGAGTAGCTAAATATCAGTGCGTCATATTTTAACCGAACGACGCGGAAGCCTCCTCCACCTACGGGGGCGACCCGCGGTGCCGAAAGCGCGCAAAATGTGGCGTCTTTGGTCTTGGGCTTACTGCTGGTCAGAGCCGGTAAAAGCTTCTGTTTAGTCGAAACACAAAATATAATAGACGCGAACCGTTTCAATTATTTATAAAAGTAGTTTTTGTTCAATATTTTGGATCAGAAAAGAAACAAATGAAGTTTGGAAGGTACAAAAACAAGAAATGACCCGTCGACATACCCTCCACCAAGCGGTGGAAAAGGCGGCGCATACTAGAAAAGGGTAGTGGGATCAGGCGCCGACGCGGAAAGGTCCCGGATGTACGTGGCGGCGCTGCGGTCATATCGACTGGAGGATCCGACCAGTTCCGAGCGTTCCCAAAGCCTTCGGCGAGCAGCTTCGGCTTGTTTAGCCTTTCGGCGGTATGGCAGCACGAAGTGGCTCCCGTTCTGAACTGATCGATACCCCGTGTTTGCTGTCGTTTGTGCCCAATGAAGTGTCATGCCGAATTAGTGTTTACTCGCGCAGCAAATGCAATGCGAACCGCCCTAGCTGCCCGCTTCATACAGCCTAGCCAGAACATGCTTTAGTAGCGCCCTCTCGAGCCGTCGACACGGAGTGCGGCAGCCGTGACCGCTCGCTGAGCTCACTACCCCTCCGCTAATTCACGGCCACTGAAGCAACCAAGGACGTCATGAAGGAGGTTATTTTTTGCTTGTAGTTTTTAATTTTAATTTGTCTATAACTTTTAAAATAAAGAGAAATTCGAGGAAAGGAAAGTTTAATTAAGTTACTACGTTCAGTGCGCTCAGGTTCGGTGCAAACTAAGAACCAATAAAAAGTCCTTGTAGGGCCCCTTTAAACCACTAACATTGCACACAGCGTATTCTCGACTTATTCACAAAGGTCATACTTCTCTGTAAAGCGAAAAGCAAATTATTAAATAAAATGAACTGTCCTTATGCCAAGCAAAACTCATCACAGAAAAACCCGCCGAGATTAAGAGGAAAGCAGGACTACTATCAGAAGCATGCTTGCAGTGTACTTACTTATAAAAAATAGATATCATGTAATCTTTGATATATGCATGATCCAACTGGGCCACCCCTCAAACATTCAAAAAAGAAGGTTGCGCACATTCAACTGACGTATCGTCGTCGGCGTAGAGCAGTTTTTGTTGAAGTGCGTCCAGGAAATAGCACGATACCGCTGCTAGAATGTGTCACTCACTTCCCGCCCATTCACAGGTTATCGCCGCTGTGGTCTTTTGTACGTTGCTTCCGTCCCCCCACTGGCGCTGCCTTGCGACACGCTGACTCCGCACATCGGAGAGCGCTCGTCCTTTACATCGACACCTGGACCAGTCGGACCGTGTGCGCTTCACCCTTCTGCCTTTTTGGTTGACATCGACGGAGTCCCCTCCACGAGTCTGGCAACCACCACCACGGTATCCTCACGGAGCGAGACTACAAAAGTGGCCAGAAGCGACGTCGTACCTTGGGCAGGGTACCGCTGCTAGAATGTGTCGCTCACTTCCCGCCCATTCACAGGTTATCGCCGCTGCGGCCTTTTGTGCGTTGATGTGGGCCCCCCACTGGTGCTGCCTTCCGACAGGCTGACTCTGCACATCGGAGAGCCCCCGTCCTTTACATCGACACCTGGACCACTCGGACCGTGTGCCCTTCACCCTTCTGCCTTTTTTTCGACATCGGCGGAATCCCCTCCACGAGTCTGGCAACCGACACCACGGTATCATCACGGAGCGAGACTACGAAAGTGGCCACATGTGACGTCGCACTTTGGGCACGATACCGCAGCTAGAATGTGTCACTCACTACCCGCCCATTCATAGGTTGGTGCCTTACCACATAGTTACCGAGACTGCAATGTCTTCATGATTGCGGTATCGAGCCCACCCACCGTTTATAAGTGCTTGCTCAGTGTTCGGTCGAAGTTTGCCGCCGTAGCATCGAAAGTGTCTCTTGCCATAAACCTTACAAGGAAGCTAATTCTCTTATCAGGGGACGTTGAATCTAACCCTGGCACTGTCACGGATACCCGTGATCCTAGCGCTCCAGAGGACCAAATGCTCGCCCTTTTAAGCAAAACCTACTGTTGGCCAGCCAGCAATAATGACTGAAATCAAGTCTCTACAATTAAGACAACAAAAACCGACTCCGTTTTAGCAACCCTGAGAACCAAAATTGACGACATTGATCGAAAGGTTTTGAGCTTAAAACCAGTCAAGGCAGACGTCGCTGCCGTTTCAGCGGCTACCTCGCGAAACAGTATCACGCTTGAGAAAATGGCCCAAAGGTGCCGAGAGCTTGAAAGTCAGTCGAGACGTAATAATCTGCTGTTTTTCAATATCGAAGATAGCAGAAGGGAGACGTGGAAACGGTCTGAGGAGAACGTCATTGCGTTCTGCGAAGAAATGCTTGGCGTTAAGATAGAACCTTGCTGGATTGAACGCGCCCATCGAATTGGTTATTACAAAGACGAATGCAACTCATACAGGTAAATCATTGTTAAATTGAACTCCCTTAAAGGGATAGTGAACCGAAATTTGGTTTTCAGAAAAAACTATGCAGAAGATGTAGGCGGGACGCTACAATTCCTACAACACTACTCGTAAGGTGATATCTCGAATGAACGGCCGTATCTTGGGAAAAAGAGGTCGAGATTGAACCAGGCCGACGAGGCACGTGACCGTGAAGATACCTAGTTTCCTCCTCTCTTCGCTTCGCTCCCTCAAGGCGGCGAGGCGGAGAAGACGCAAGGCCGTTCCCTCTCCTTCTCGGAGAAACATGACGTGAACATTTCTGTCAAATGCGCCTCCTTTTCTTGAAAAATAAGTCATCCGTTCAAGATATCGCTGTATGAGTGATATTTTAGTGTATGTAGCATCCCGTTGCACGCTTTTGCCGCGTGTTTTGTGGAATCCACATTTCGGTTCAGCATCCCTTTAAAGAAAAGGAACTTGTCCTGTCAAAAGCACCTAAACTGATGGGAACAGGCTATCGCTTGAGCGAAGATTTCGCCGAATTTCGAAACGCAAGGAAAGAACTCGTTGCCTCCGCAAAGACTCAAGAAAAGGCCTTTAAGCTACGACATGATAAGCTTATCATGGGAACCTCAGGTTATTATTTTGACACCAAGACCGGTTGCGTGAAACCGACCCCAACATAGCTATTGGAAGAATCAAGGCCACCCCCGTCAGCCCAAGTGCGTCAACCGCCGCCTTCCTCAACTTTAAGTTTCTTTATCGCAAACGCGAGTAGCCTGTACTCTAAACAAAAAGAGCTACTTTCCGCCGCGCAGTCATGTACAGCTGATGGGGTTGTTGTCAGTGAAACGTGGCTGACAGCAGATATCCAGAACTCTGAATTAATTTTGAACGACGGTTTTTCCATTGTTCGGAAAGACCGCACTGAGCGGAGAGGGGGAGGGGTTTTGATCGCAATAAAAAAGTGCTTGCGTGTTGAAAACTTTGATATCATTCCAAGTTTTGAAGGCGTGTGGGTCAGAATAAAAACGCATGGTGTTTATGTTATAGTGATTGCTTGTTACAAGCCACCCGGGCTTCTGGATTTGTCCCCTTTACTTTACAAGTTTATGGAGCTCCTTGTTAGAACTTACCCGAATGACATGTTTTGTTGGCAGGAGACTT